AGGAGGACTCCCAAATTGTGAACCCTCTCTGAGGGGCGTATGGTTTCCACCCCCCAGGCTAAGGGATGGAATAGCTGGACCATCTTTGGGAGGGAACATCAATAGCCATTGAATCTTGTTGGGATTGAGCGCAAGCTTGTTCGTTCCCATCCAGACCCTAACAGCCTCCAGGCACTGGCACATCACTTCTACTGCTTCACTGAGTTGGCACGGGGCGGACAGATACAATTGTGTATCGTCCACATATTGATGACTATATGAAGTCTATAGAAGACTATAAATGGTTAGCGTTGCCCTATTTTGTCCCATTTTCACTTGGTGGGTATAATTAAAAGCCACAATAGTAAAACCAATGAACCCGAGCGTATCCTTCTAATTATGTGCACTTCTGTGTAAATGTTTTTGGTCCTTTTTGGGACTACATTTTTCTACTGAACCTTGTCAATTTCCTGTGGTAGTCTGAATGAACAAACGCTATACACCAAATTTTGATGTTGGTATCATTTATATATAAACAATCAATTTTACAATTTGGTAGTCTGAAAAGGTAATCACCTCTTATACTAACTAGTTGTACTCCTGGAAATTGGAGCAATTGCAACCAAATACTTCTTATTACTGGTTATTACTCCTACATACTAGTGGGTAGGAATATTGAGCCTTTCCTCTATGATGAACTGTTTTAGCTGATACTTGAGGATTTTTCTAGCATGAACTACTTGTTTCAAGAACTTAGATTTGAATTCTGACTTGCCCACTTTGAAAAAACCGTATCTGTTCATCCACTCTAATGTAGGTGGCAAAGCAATTCCAAAGTACCATTTACATATTTGATAGCTGATATAAGTTCCTTTTATGGAATTCGATAATTATCACGAAACATAAGAAATCCACGTAGCCTTGAAATTCAATTTCTGGCTCAAATAAATTTGATGTTGTTAATTTAAACACTGTTTATGTTATCGGTGGGACTTGAAATGGGGTGAGCTCTATCATCCCATTTAAATCCATAAAAGACTCTCCTGAATCCCAGCTGTTTGCAAGGGTCACTAACCTGAAGCATACGGACAATTTCAGCCAACATGGGAACAAGGCACCTAGTTGTATAGAATCCTGGACCATCCTGTGGAGGAAATAAAAAGGTGAAATAGGTTTGCTAAGGAAGATGAGGCAGCAAATAATCTAACTAGCTTTCCCTCACCAATTCACTTTAATGGAAGTTGGTTTCTTATCTATAGGGTATTTCTAATTTATGGGGTATTTTCCTATTTAGAGGCTATACATGTAGCAACGACACTTGTTTAGACCAACTTTTCAGTGATATGGGCTGAACAGGAATTTAGTCTGAGATACCAACTAATACGGATTTTGTATTTATTAATATAATTTGTTTTTATGCACATAATTTGTATTCTACATCTAAATATAAAAGGGTTAAGCTTTGACTTCAGATTGATCTTTGTGAGCTCTCCAAGAGCTCATAAGTTGTTAAGCAAATAATTGGTGTATAAAAATTATTTTGTACCATCAAGAAAAAGAGCACAAATCTGGGCATTTTTGCGCCTTCTAGGGAAGAAATGGAAGACTCTGGAAGAATGGCTCTGTGAGAAGCAGAGCCGACAACCACTGAGGAATGAAGAGCTGATGAGTAGATAATCTCAATACTTCCTCTCCAGATAAGAAGAAAGCTTAAGATCACCCATAAGTGTTACTGAGCGTTGCTACTTACAAGGACACCACAAGACAGCAGATTTAGAGTTCTGGGAAACAAAGGAAAAGCTATCTTGCTCAAACCACTGTTGGCATCTTTAAAAAGACACCTGGTTTGTATACTCGTAATCTTCGATTTACAACCATTCAGTTAATGACTGTTCAAGGTTACAACAGAACTGAAAAAAAATGTATTTTAAGAGGAAGTGATGTTACTAAACTTGCTCATACTTGTTTTGATGAAAGGGGAAATTATTTCTTTATATATTTATTTTTTATCATATTCTTATTTTTCATTTTTCTATTTTTTCCTTTTCTGCAGCTTCTATTCTTTAGTCTTTCCTTTTTTTTAGTTTGTATTAATTTTTATTATTGTAATTTCTAGGAAAATTAGTTCTTTTTTGGCTCTTGTGAAAGTCCTGTACATCTGCAGTAAGTTTCCTGTGAAGAATATGGCTGATACTGTGTCTTGTCGCAGCCTGCTCATGCAGTAATTTAGAAAAAAAAGAAAGTTTAATCCTGGCCTTCTGACTCATAGTGATAATTCCACTGGGAGCCTTCTGTATTTTTCATAAAAACCACAATCACCTTAACCACAATGATGACTTTTCCTTGCTTGAGACCAATAGCCACAGCAGAAGCTGCTGTTTCTGGGGATGTCTTGTCAGTAGTGATGATCTCTAGCAGCTGCATCTTATCCACAGGAGAGAAGTAGTGCATCCCAATCACCTGAAGTATGCAAGAAGGTAAAATGGAAAAGAATGAAGACCCTTAACATACAGTGGGCTCTCGCGATAGGCTGCAAAGCAGAAAGAGTCAAATCCTTTACACAAACAAGCCTAATTAAAGCTAAGCCTCATTTTGTGTGTAAGATTTTCACTCTGTTAAACTGCTCCAGCTGCTGTACTTGTTTAAGTGACACTGGAACAAATGGAAGCCAAAGACTAATGTTTTCTTTAAAACATGGGTATCAAACTTGCGCCATCACGCTGCCATCACATGATGTATCGTGATGGTTTACCCTTTGCGGAGCTGGAGTGGACGTTGTCTGCGCATGACGGATCTGGCCTCTGGGCCGCCAGTTTGACACCCCTGCTTTAAACCCATTTGCTAGAGTCTGCATCACAAAATGTTAGCAGAAATCTAGCGAGCGCAAGGCATTTAAGGCAAATAATTATCTGTAATTTATGAGAGAGGTCAAAGCTCGGGATCAGAGTAAAATGCTGTTTTTTCCAACAAGACTAAGATATGCTGTGGGGAAACCACAGATGGAGAGGCCTTACTTAACAATGGTTTTTCAGTATATTCTACAAAAAGACACCAAACTCACCTTTTCTGGCCTTTTGCTGGCTGCAGCTATCTGATGGATGGGAAGAGCAGATGTGTTGCTGGCAAAGATACAATGAGGAGGGATAATCTGGGAAGACAAAGCAAATGTTACATGTGGGAGAGGGAAAGTGCATCGTTATGGCTAAAGTGATCTTATACAGAGACGAATCCACTTTTTCCCACTGTAATATGTGATCTGCAATACAGCACAGGTGTCAAACTTGATTGCGTCACGTGACGGATCGTGACGTGACCTTTTTGCCTTTGTGGAGCCAAGGTGGGCATGGCCTGCGCATGAGGCATCCAGTCTGTGGACTGCCAGTTTTTCAGGCCTGGGATAGAACATTTTATAAAAGCCCTGGTGTGGCCATGTGCTTGGTGCCTTGACAGAACTGGCTTGTACTTGGTAGGATGCAAGCAACAGGGTGAGGACTGACATCCTTATAGTAATATTCCTTCCTTTGACTACTACAGTTCTAATGTTAATGGATGGAATCATCTAGTTGTACTGAATGGAGATACTTCCAGGGGCAGTCATAGGACCAGATTACTGACCAGAGATTAACGTACCTAGCAGTGGTGGGTTCCGGACCCCGGCACAGCCAGCACGCTGCGCACGGGGCTGGGTGTCATACACGGGCACGCACGCTATGCACACATGAACACCCCACCGAGCTGGCCAGTGGAGGTCGCGCAGGTGCCGCACACTGTGCACACATGCGCAATGGGCCAGTCGCATTATTAAACGGCCATGGAACGCGAGCCACTGTATCGATACAGTGGCCGCTTCTCCTGGCTACTACCGTACAGCTGTACCAGGCTGTACCGCCTGGAACCCATCACTGGTGCCTAGTATGACTATGCTCCAAGATTAACATAATATTCCAATTTCTTCCGCTTTTGCAAAGGAATGAGGTGGCAAATTTTATATGGGAAATTAGGAAGGTGGGAGGTGCCCCCAAATATATCCAAATGCATATCACAGACCCATCAGGTCCTTTTGGCCTCGAACTCCTACTTACTGCTTCCACCTCCTTCAGCACTTTGTGTTTGATGTTAAGGTCTTCAAAGACAGCTTCAATGATCATGTCAGTTTTCTTAAAGTCCTTGTAATCCAGCTGTCCCTTGAGGCTACTTAGGAGCATATCTCTCTCAAATGACGTCAGACTCTTCTTTTTCACTTTATCATTCAAGCTGAAAAAATTATTAGGGTGGGGACAGTGGAAAGTATTGAAAATAAGCTGTTGAGTAAAGTATAGCTGTGAAGAAGGCATTTAGATTCATAATTTTTTTTATATTGAAGAGAGCTTGACTTAAGTTTTGAAGCTTTGAAGAATCTTTCAAAAGCTAAGTAAAAACAACTACTATTTTAGAAGCAGATGGCTTTTTAACTTTAGGTTTTATTATTTTTAAGCCCTTCTAAAATATTGTTTTAGTTTTTTGTTTTAATTCTGAAATCTATTCCTTTACTGTAGATTTCTCGTAGCCAACCTGGAAATACATTTACTGATCAACGCACAACAAAACAAAAAGGCAAAGCTAAACAACACAGACTTTGAGGGCTAATCGTGCATTTATAAATAGCAGAGTTTCCAAACAGTTTGCCAAATGCAAATACTGATCCTGGATACCCTCCTAAAAGGGAGAGGAAGAATAATAATAAGATACTTGTCAAAATAAATATATTTAAGTAAAATGGAATCTGGGAGAGATACTACACTGATTTTTTTTTAAAAAAGCTTGCAAATGACAACTGTAGCATATGACAAGAATGTGTTGTTGTTTTCAAAATTTTCTGTCAACGGATAATTTATTACCAGAGTAGATCTCCCCAAGCCTAAACAAATCTAGAAAAACAGATGGTTCTCTAAGTAATTGAGAAACTATAATAGCTCTTCAGTAATGCCAGCAGCTTCTAAAGATTCATAATTTTTAAAAATGTATTTATTTAGAAAATGTATATGAATGCCCAAATTAGTCGCAGTGACTAATTAAGACACAGTAAGATTGCTGAATCAGAATAATAGAGTTGGAAGGGACATTGTAGGTCTTCTAGTCCAACCCCCTGCTTAGGCAGGAAACCCTTTTCTATTTCATACAAATAGCTGCTCAATCTCTTCTTCAAAACCTCCAGTGCTGGAGCAGTTACAACTTCTGGAGGCAAGTTGTTCCACTGATTAATTGTTCTAACTGTCAGAAAATTTCTCCTTAGTTCTAGGTTGCTTATGTCATTGATTCGTTTCCACCCATTGCTTCCTGCCCTGCCCTCAGGTGCTTTGGAGAATAGCTTGACTCCCTCTTCTTTGTGGCAGCCCCTGAGATATTGGAACACTGCTATCATGTCTCCCCCAGTCCTCATTTTATTAGAAAAGAGTTAGGCACAAAGATACTGAATTCCAGCATAAGAAATGCTGGAAGGAAAGAACATTGTTGGAGTCACACTTGCTACTCTAATAAGCTTCTCCAGCCTGTACATTTATGACAGGAAGAGCTTTTGAAGAGCAAAAAGATTTTTTTTTGCATATTACTGCTTCAAAAATGACAAATACTGACAATTCAGGGCTGATGTTAATGCAGGATTCCAATCTCTCCAGACTGCAAATACACCGGAAGTTAGATGCTAAGTGGACATACCCTTTATAGACCTGCTGCTGTCCCCTGCTCAAGCCATCCAGAGTAGTATCCTTCATTATGATCTTAAGACCCTTTTCCATAGAAACCTGAGCAATTCCTGCACCCATCAAACCTGCTCCCAGAATAGCAAGATTCCTGCACAAAGAGGAAATCAAGAAAAAGAAATTCACAAGATAAAAGAAAAAAACAAATTCAATATAATTTACATAATAAATAAATAATTCACATTTAAAATTCCTCTGTTTTAATCATGCTGGAAAAGTAAGCAAATAATTAAAACAAGTTTGAATAATTTATTAGTTAAAAAGCATTAAATGCCCCCCTTAGCTTACTGGTCACTTCTGCTTCAAGCTAGGTCAATGTAATTTTTTGAGCCCAGAATCCTACTAAATTTAACAAGTGTATATTTATATAAACACTTGGGAGAAATGTTTATCTGTAAACCCCAATAATGCATTTCAAGTTACATTAAAAAAGAATCAACAGAAACTAAGATCTTTATTAGTTGTCTGAATGTTGGCATTTTCAATGCAGTTAGGATATAAACGTCCATTTCTCCTGCTTTGCAGTGGACAAGCTGGCTGTGTAGAAAGGTTTGAGCATGGTCCTGCCAGGATTCTGACTTTGCCTGTGCATGCAAAGCCCAATCTGAAGCAAAGCAGAACGACTAACTTTCTACCCTATCAGGACAAGCAGGGAAATGGGTTTTGGCTTAATTAGAATGTGTTCAACAATTTCAGAGCCAGTCCTCTCAAACTAGATTGAATTGGCTAAGTGACATTCCTGCCTTTTGAACTGGCCTGAATGTTATTAATGCAAACTATCTAATCTTTTACATACAAATAGACAGAACTGTTCTAACCAGCACAGCCTGAAGGCTGTTCAAAGAGTTGAACTCACTTGACTGGTTCCTTGGGCTCCCCAAATTTGTTCTTCTTGCACTGTACCTGACCATGATAGAGCCCCATTAAGGCCCTGCATTCAGGAGTCATCCCAAGTTCCCCAAATTTCTGCAAGAGGTGGGGATGGAAGAAGTGGAGAGAAAATGAAAAAGAAACATTCAGAGGAACTGCCATAGAATCACAATACCATCCTGAAGTAACAGCAAAGAGTAAACAAGCACTCTATAGAAGGGCACATCAGAGGACCAGCTACAAATTAACATTGGCGGGGGTCACAATATTGTCACAGGGAGTCCGTGAAGGCTTGAAAAAATGTTATGAATTAAATCTTGAGTTAAATCTTTGTGGTCCATGGCCACAAAAGGTATTTAAATGGGTCAGTGTTAAAGAAAACTGCTGTAGTATTTATGTGCAGGGTATTTCCCACTAAACCTGCTGATTTTTCATCTGATTTAGCTTAGAAATTACACTGCTTCTAACTGATGATGATAGTGTTTAACATACTTTTGGTGTTAAGACCATATAAAGAGCAATAATGTAGCAATATATGCATCTTTAATCAATAATATAGGCATTTTTAGCAAGCTTTCCAGACAAAAGCTTAAATACAGATGTGATTTTAATTTTGCTGTATACGGTGTACCAATAGAAATATATACCTGTTTTTTTTGCTGGGTGCTTTTTTTGTTTTATGTCATAATCCATGAAAGAAAATGCCATTATAACCCAGGGTTTAAACTATTATACCATTATACAGGTTTAAAAGTCACCATTTTAAAAAATTCACCCTGTTAGAAATATTACAAATATGATTTCTATCTATGGACCACAGCTTAATATTACAAAAACTGGGTCATCACAATAGCTGATGATGGTTTGAAAGCAAGTGAAGAAATGAAACATAATCAGTGTTACACCCCAAAAAACTGAATTGTAATTTTTTAAAAATAAGACAGCAGACACTTTGCATCAAAGGTTTTTTATAGTCCCTTATCTAGGTGTTCCTTATGTTATTGTTAGGATTTTGTTCAGTGATCTGCTGAAAACAGATTTTTCTTACAAAATAAAAGAATGGATCACACATTCTATCTCATTCTGGTTTGTAGGGCTGAAGACTGGTTTCTTTTTTGAAATAAAGATGGAAAATCAGAAATTATGGCTAATACGAGAGAGCAACTGATCATTCAATGCCCCTGATTACTGGAGAAAACCTGCAAAAAAACAGCACTGAAAACTCAAGGAGGATACTGCTAAGGCTTCAAGATAAAGATTTTAGAACAGGGGTCTCCAATGTTGGCAACTTTAAGACTTGTGGACTTCAACTTCCAGAGATCCTCAGCCAGCTTTGCTTTAGAGAGCTGCTGATAAATTATCTCTGAAAAATATATTGAGAGCACTATTGCTCCAATAAGAAAGATTCTCACACATCCCCAATAGTATTATACAATGATATCCTTTTCTCTCTTAGCATAAAGAATGTTGAGGAGGTGGGAAATTAAGGGCTTTTGAGATGTCTTGACTGAGTAGTTATAAACTAGAGACATGAGAATCAAGCTGCAAAGACTATCCAGGTAATGATGAGAAGACAATTATAATGAAAATGACAAGTTCTGAAGATCAAATTTTGGAAGATGTGCCAACTGTCCATCTAGTAGTACTAAGACATGAAATGGCATCAAGGCAAAAGCCACTACCAGTCTGTCACCCTTTTAAGCCAAACATCTTTTAAGCAATCATGTTAAACTTTTTAAAAATATATAATTTTATTTATATATTTTTTCTTTAACATCCATAGGTGTTTAGTAGATAGTGTATTATCTGGGTCAATATATTTTGCATACAATTCTGATAGTGGTATTACCATTTAAGTATACAGTCAAACTTTTTCAACTTTTAATATTTGTGTATAGATAGTAATCATATTATATTTCAGTTTACAGAATATTGTTTTTCCAATTCTATTTTCTACTTTTTTTCCTAACACTTATTAAAATAACCACTGTATTAAAAATATTCTATGTTTATCCATCATCTCTTGCCCTTTTTAAAATTTCAACTCTTATTAGCTTTTTTTGTGTATCTGTCCTGCTTCTCCTCTGGTATCTTATAACTCCTTTTGTCATGTTTATTTAATCTAAATATTTCCACTGCTACAGCATCTGTCTCTTGCTGTTTGATCTCTGACAGCATCACGTGAAACTTTTTAAAAGTGGATCAAAGATTCTTTACCTGGGATTCGAGAAGGTAGCCAGCTTCATTGCCTTGTTCTAGGCCAGTCTTCACTACCTAAACCAATACAAAAAAAATTTTGTTCCCCAAAGTATAGTTAGCTCATATTGTTGACAATAACAGCTAACACATTAAACACAGTATTAAAAACAGTTAAGAGAAAAATAACACATCAAAAGCCATTTCACTTTCCAAGTGTTGGAGAATGTGTTGCCTACCCTTCTGTCTCTCCCCATATCTTACAACTGAATTGGTTTTTTACCACCTTGGCAGAAAAGATTATAGCACAGAAGGTAGGAACTTTGAAGAATGCAAAGAAATCTCATGTTTCTGAAAGTAGTTAACAATTCAGTGAAGCGATGCATCCTGGTTTTATTTTGCAATACCAGCATTTTTGACCAATGAGTGCCCCAGATCAGGTCCTCTTTTATGATAACACCCAGAAATTTAAAACTGGTCAATTGCTCACTTGGTCTCCATTGGTAACCAAGGACTGGATGTCTGATCTATTCCTTCTATAGTCCATTATAAGCTCCTTGATCTTATTGGTGCTGAGGACCAAATTATTATCTCCATACCATGAAAGCAGCAGTTGTGCCTAGAAGAGCTTTTGCATAATTTCATGCTGTGTGCCAGTCACGCCCTTTTCTGGATTGTGAGGCCCTACACATGGGTCACTCCTGGCCTGGTCCTCTCCTGGTTGGATTACTGCAATGTGTAATCCAACCAGGAGATGACCTCTGTACCTCAGAAGCTGAAAACAGGTACAGAGTGCAACGATGTAGACAATTCTTGGGGACCCTCAGGTGAAACATGTGACACAACTGTTACGCGAGCTGCATTCGCTGCCGTTTTGCTTCTGGGCTCAATTCAAGGTGATGGTTGTCAACTTTAAAGCCCTTTAGGGCATGGATAAAGGGTATCTGAGGAACTGTCTCACCCCATGGAATTAACCAACCCCAATTGTTCTAGTGGGAAAAAACTACTTTGGATCCCATTGGCCAAAGAATTTCGGCTAGTGGGGTCCTGGAGAAGAGCCCACATTCTGGTAATTCTCTTTTTGGAGGGGAGGTCTGCTCCCTGCACCTGGCCTTCTGGGAGAATCTAACAATGTGGCTTTGCTGCTTGGACTGGGGTCCCAACAGGGCCTGCCATATTGGGGGTAGCTGGCAGGCTAGAGAACATAACTCACTCCCCAAGCCATCCATCATCTCCATTTTAAATCTTTAACTTCTCTATTCAATTCGTTTAATTGCTTTTTAGCGCGTTTTAATTTTCAATTAACTTGCAAGCCACCTAAAGCCACTGTATTAGTGAAATGGGCAGCAAAGGAATTTAATGAATAAATAATGTATTCAGATCAATTAAATGCATAAATATAATAAATAGCAACAAATAGTACCCAGTGAAACTAGGATTGAGAAAAGAAAATGAAGAATATTAAACAAAGTAAAGCAAACAGCAAATACAATTCAAAGTCTAAAACAATGTTTTAAATACCCATTAAAATAAAAAGATTTTTATCTTTTTGCAGAAACTATATTTCTAGGTAACAGGTAAGCCACATCAAAAGGTCTCTTTTCTTATAGAGCCACTCGAAGAGAAACATAAGCTGCATTCTTTGAAGTAGCACTTTCCATCAAAGAGCAGTTTTACAAATTCAGCCAGTGAGTATGCTGATGTGGTCTTTCAGTTTATACTTACTAATGTTTATGGAATAAGTGAGACGGTTGTGAGGGATAATCTCACAGATGCCAAAATAGCATGACTGTTCTGCAAAAGCTAAAAAACCTTTAGCCAACTCTTCTAAAATGAAAATATTTTGCTCCTCTAGGTCAGTGTTTCCCAACCTTGGCAACTTGAAGATGTCCGGACTTCAACTCCCAGAATTCCCCAGCCAGCGAATGCTGGCTGGGGAATTC